TATTTGTGTTTTTCGCTTTTCTTGTGAGTTTAGTCAATAAAAAAATTAAGTTTTTTTTTCAACAAATCACAATTGAGTTTTACTTGTTGGTTCTTTTCAGCTTAACAGATAACAGTCGGTTAACAGTTTACTAACTAACAGTGCTATAACATTAAAAAGTTAACAGTACACAAATATATCATAACCTACAAAATATAATATAACAAGTAAATGTTTTATTCTTGCAATTCTACTACTGTATCATATTTCCTACTTTAACAGCTGCTTAACATAGCAAGTGACTAACGATAACAGCATAATGTCGATTTAGTACAGAGTCTATCTAAAAGCATTAGTTAATGCTCAAATAACTCTATTTATGGCCCAATTTAACAGTCGTAATGTAGACCTGTTAAGTCACTCTTATGGCCAATAACATGACTGGGTTAACATTAACATTTGCATATTAATTAGGCGCCTCCGTGTGGGCCTGGGCGCTACTTTGAAGTGCTGCGTTCGACGACGTGCGCCAATTTCGGCCATCGATATAAATTTCAATTCAATATATATTTCAGTCGATGTTGCCAGGTCTTCAATTCCTCTAGGTATCAATGTGTATGTATGYATGTGTGTATGTATATGTATATGTGTACAGCTGTCAGTCAATCGGGCTCGCCGGGCAAACACGTTGCGCATTTTTAATGGCGCATTAAGAAAATTTTCGCAGACAACTCAACGGAATTCAATAAACTTTGCATCAATTGTCGCAAAATGATCGCCAACATGACCATAAGACATATTTCTAAATATATACGTACATGCATACAAGTATATTTATATAAATGTATACATATGTATATGTTTATAGATATTTGTGTATTTATAGGCATTCGTGAAGGCGGCCCACTTTGAGCCTGACTCAGCGCTGGGCCAGTCCCGAGCTCAGCCCATCCAGCATTTGGATCACGTGTGAGCTCCGCTCTCAAGCAACAGACATAACAGTCAAATTAAATTGAATGTCGTTCATAAATTAAATTATTTCACTGTTTATTCAATCATTGATTCGTTTCATGCCTGTGATACCCTTTAAAAGGTGAATGGATTTGTATGCTCCAGTCACTATTAGCCAGAAACTATTTTGCTTTGCTTGGAGAAGTCTATCAATCTCAACTTGATCGGCTATACAATACTCGACTTATAGGAAAATAATAAATTCAATGGAAATCAATCTGTCAGTCTCCAGTTTTATCTATCAAATATAGTACTTATTTTATAGTGTCCTGCACTAGATTTACATCTATTACATTGCCACCCTCTATGTCTCATTGATCTCTTCAATTTCAATGCGATCAGCTATACCATTACCAAGTTATCACAAATAACAATTGAAATGAATTTTCCCTATATCATATCACATTGACAGGGCATCTGCTAGTCGTTCACTCTCCACGTGCGTCCATCATTCATGGATCATTGCCATTGCATTCGATTGGTGTTCCTTCTGCCTTTACATGCTCTCGTACATACTCTAACATATTATTTATTTTCATTGCATTCCGCTTGATTTATGCTCGTACGAGCCTCGATTTTCAGATCATCCAACAGCACGAAATGTCCCCATTTCTTATTTATATCGCATTCAAATGTCATTTTTTCAATTGATTCCATATTGCAGGTTTATCGAGTTCATCGAGTCCAATGCTTTAATAAGTCAAACACGTATTTAACTAATATAACGAGCATATTTTATTGCCATAAGAAGCCCAAATTAAAGATATATCTCTCGATATATACTTCAAATATGCATCAAGCATTTATATGTACATAAATTAAGAAGAATAGCCAGTGAATTATACTGTTATATAACAAAAAATTGTAATATCGAGAGAATATTTAAGAACAGGTATAATTTCCACATTCAGAGCACTCTAAACATATAGGGCTTGTCTCTCAGATTTTAAGAGGCCTATTAAAATGCCTAAAAATATTTATATAAATATAAACTAAATTTTATGGATAAATATAAGAGTTTTTGTTCGTCTGTTATGCAATTCCTATATAAGAGCTAAGTCAACTTGGATACAACTAACTTTTTCTGACTATATATAATTCATATACCTCTATAGTACTTGCATATATAAATCATATCTTTAATATTTATATTTGAAACTATATAAGTCTATTATCATATAAGTCTATTATCATATTCCCCACAGAACACCTCACATATCGTATATTCACAGTATTCTATATGGAATACTTCACTAGATTTCCGCCTATCGACTGCTATTATCATTCCAAACTGATCTAGAAACTGGATAATCACCTGTCTGTGCCACCTGACTAATTTTGGTGGGCGTTCGATCTTTTATGGCCAATTATGTTCGCTTTGGCCTGTGGTCTTCGGTGTTTGGTCTGTGGATGATATTCTTGATTTGGCCGGAGCTCTTCTTTTGGATCGGGTCATCAGCCGGTTGGTTGCGCTTTTAATGAGTTGTTGTTTATTGGATTCCATTTGCATTTTAATATGACACAAAACAAAAAGTAAAAACAAAAAAACGCCGAAATTTATTATTTGTTGTTGTTTGCGGTCGCTAATTTTGTATTATTTTATTTTTCATCTTCTTCTCCCTCGACTATATATATAGACGGGCAGAGGGAGAGAGAATTGCTTCCCACACAAATTAAAGAACAATTAATAAATGATAA